AGATAGATAGATAGATAGATAGATAGATAGATAGATAGATAGATAGATAGATAGATATTACCTCTAAAAGTTCATGTGTTTTCAAAAAATGACCAGACACCAATAAAGGCAAGTAACCCAAGTGATGCAGCCTCTCAGAATTCCTCTTCGGCAGTTTCCTCAAAATTCTGCATCTGGAACAACTTGAAAGCTACTAGATGATGTGGTCCAGCCTCACAGCTATCCAGTCAAGACTTCAGGTAAGCTCTACAATTTCTCACCACACAGAAACTAAACAAAAATAATAATACAGCTAGCTCTCCCAGGACATGACCATTATCCCAATTTCTCAGGGTCCCCTAAGAATGTTGTCACCCCCAGACAACAAGAAGCAGTCCAGAGAACATGGTACCCCCATTCCCAAGAGGTAGGGTAAGAGGTCTTTAGCCATTCGGTGGGTTATGAATGTTTGTTATTATTTAAGAGGTTGGTTACAAGTTATTAACTGGTCATGGTAAAGGAGGAAACTAAGCAAGAGAGATTGGATTCAAGTACCTCTCTTTGAAAAGAATAAGGAGAAAAAGGGATGATAGGATAAAAGGGTAGATTATTGAATTTTCTTTTAACTAAAAAGCAGCTATTGATCTCAAATATTTTACATTGGTATGGATTTTTTATATTGATAAAAATTTAAGGCTATTCTTGTTATACTGTATATGTTTTTATTCTTGTCTAAGGTATTGATGCTATGGAACTCACTTTAAAATGCAATGTAAAGCTTTAGTCCTTAAAAACTATTTAGTATACTAAAAATGCAGGTTATTAGCTAGGTATCTATAAGAAGCAAACTTGTAATCAGGTTGGATATATTTTCAAAGTTAAACAGAGATATATTTTAAATAGATAGATGATCTTTGGACATTTCTGAAAGCCTATAAAACAAGGCATTTATAAGGTTTTAATAGCATAAAGCTTTTTACAGCAGTGAGACATGTGTGCTTCTAGCAGCACCAATTTATTTCAATAAAGGATGATGTGCACAAAAAAACCTCCATAAGAAATTTGCTTTCTTCGTGACGAAGCCAGTCATCTAGGCAAGAATCTGCCCTTGCTTCTACTGCTGACAGAAAGCTGTCAAAACTGGACAAGCAGGACACAAAAGAAGGAATTAGTCAAACTTTGACAAGAAAAGGTAGCACAGTCCTACAAAATTCCTGCTTCACAGAAAAGTCTGTCAAATATTCTAGGCCTATAGGCTGAAAATGGTTGCCCCAATGTTACAGAAGAACTTTGGGTGACTGCCCAAGCAGTCAGCTGTCTCTGTCATTTCAAAAGTTTTAGAAGTTGCTTGCTCTGCACTTCCTGTTTACTCAGGTAATAGAATATCCTCCTTGGGTCTCTGATGGGGTTGAAGATGAGATAGTTATAGTTACTGTTTTTTTGTTATCAAATCAAAAAAAATAAAAACTCACAAAAGAGATATGAAGTTTATAAGGTTGAGGGACATAAAAGCTTAAATTGTTTATCTAAGAAAATGTTTGAAAACCAAAAAGATAGTTTTAGTATGGTAATATAAGTTATGATAGAAGAATGGTTTAGGTATAAAACTTTAAATTTATCAACATAAGATAGATAATAGAGTATTCTCTTCAAATTTTCCAAATACAAACAGACTGGACTGGACATTGTGAAAGTAATTCTTACCTGGTAGTTGTTCTTATGGTATATAAGTTTTACTACGTAAGAGTTAAAACCTTTCCTTTTTATTTATTCAAAAATGGGAAATGTTATAAAATATTTGGACACTGTGTGAAGATATTTTGCTGTGACTTGTTTAATAAAGAATTGAATAGCCAATAATTAGGCAGGAGGTATAGGCGGGACTTCCGAGCAGAGAGAAAACGTAGGAAGAGATAATCAAGATGCAGAAGAGATGCCAACAAGACATGGAGGAAGTTGACATACAGAATGAAAGAAAGGTAGGAACTCACATGGTAAAATGTAGATTAAGAGAAATGGGTTAAGTTATACGATCTAGTTAAGAGCAAGCCTAAGCTATAGGCTGAGCTTTCATAATTAATTTCCATGTCATTATTTGAGACCTAGCTGGCAGGACAAAGAAAGACTGATTGCAATTTTTCCTTTTTTTTAACTTTTTCATTTATTTACTTAGTGTGTATGAATATTTTGTTCACATGCATATATGTCCACCATGTGTGCCTGTTGGATCCCCTAGAATTGGGGTTACGGATGGTTGTGATTCTTACGGATGGTTCTTACAGTGACCATTATGTGGGTGCTGGGAATTGAACCCAGTCCTGTGCAAGAGAAACCAGTGTTCTGAATCACTGGGCCATCTCTCTAGCCCCAGAGATTTTTCATTCATACAAGGACTAAAGGATGGTAGACATGAGATTAACAGAACAAGAAAAACAAAACAGAAATGTATTGTTTGCAGAAACAATCCTTTTGCCAAAGTTGTAAGCTATTCAGTGAGCTTTTCGGTTGTGCATTTTATTGAACAATTCCTCTAAGTTTCTATAACTTTCTAGGGCCAATACTGGCCTCCCCAGTATCCAGTACCTAGAACAGTATTTCTCAAGTTATATCTATGGAATCCTGGGGTCACACACACACATAAGCAAATATTTTATTTACTTCTTTTAAATAAAAAATTTAAGCTCTGTGTTCCTTATATATGTGCATATACACATATGCATATTTATATATCCACTACATGTATTATAAACACTGAAAATGTATATATTACGTATTTGTATAATGTGATTTCCAAATAGAAAACTTGAGAGACAATAAATACATTAATTTCTACAGTTAGAACAGCTTATTTTTATACAGAATTAGAACTATTCTCTGTGCAGACATTGAAATTTCTGGAAATGCCAGTGCTCAGGAAAATTTAGACATTTGTATTCATGTTTTTTTTCAAATTTATAGCACGGTATATTCAACTGTATAAAATTCTCTTTAAAGAATTTATAGTTCTAACATTCTGTTGCCCCAGAGTGGTAGGAAATTTCAAAGTAATTGTTTCTGCACTAGATATGTTTGGAACATAACTATAATCCCAACATCTGGGAGGCAGAAACTGGTGTTCATAGTGAGTTCCAAGCTAGCTTAAACTAGCACTACTATTAGTCTGAAACAAACAAATAATAAATCTTTTACTTATTTTCCCAATTTTCAATATGCCATATCATCCTTTTTTCCTCGTGAATCCAGAGTTCCTGGTTAATGACTTTATTAAATAAATTTGTATTTATTATTTATGTATTATTTATTATTGTACTAATTTACTTTTCTTGCAGTAGTGAGGGAAGGACAGTTAACTTGGATGTACAGAGAGGAAGGTATATCTGAAGAACTAACTGGTGTTCTAATTCACTTACTCCGTTAGATATTCATCCTTCTTTCATCTCTATCTTCAAAGTTACAGATTTCTCCTTTTTTATGACAACATTTCTCAATTGCATTTTTCCATATGTTGTACTGGTTTGCTAGGAATGTGATAGACAACTTATAAACTGACATTTGCTCTTACAGTCTGGGGAAGTCAGAGTCTAAAGTCAATATGCCAATCAGGAAATTCTCTCTCAGAGGTGTTCAGAAAGGATATGATCCACTGGATTCTAGCTTCTGGTGGCACTAACGCTTCTGTGCTTGGAGATCTATTACTACAACCCTTCATCATCACATAATGTGCTCCTTAATTTCCCATCATCTTCTCTTGGAGCCTATCTCCGTGTACAAACTTGCCCTTTCTATGAAGATACTAGTGAAATTGGATTAAAATCGACCCATACAACCTAATAGAAATGTGGTTAAATCTGTGAATACCCTATTTCTAAATTAGGTTATCTCCGGAATGCTAAGAACTAGATTCTCGATGTACTTTAACATACCTTCTTTGGGAGATTGTGTTGTTGTTCGTAATCTATTTTCTTTTCCAAAAAGAAGAAGAAGAAGAAGAAGAAGAAGAAGAAGAAGAAGAAGAAGAA